CCCTACACGGCTTCGCATCTGCAGGCACGTTCTGCGGTTAGGTAGGAAGAGGTTCATCGGGCTTCATAGACAGTCAAGGCATTGGACGTGGCGATCCAGCGAGGGCTGACAGGAGCTCTGCTGTTTTCTCACTACTGCGACTGTTTGACAAGGCGGAAGGCTTCTAGGAACTCGTTGAAGTCGATGTTTCCATCCTTATTGAAATCAATGCTGCGAACTAAGTCACTGATGCCGTCGTCCGTGAGTTCAATGTTCATATGGGAGCTGAACAGCTTCCAGGTTTGGTGAAATTCCTCAAATGAGATGAGGCCTAGGGGGCAGAAAGGCATAGCCACATCAGCGCAAGGCCAGCATGTGCACTACTGCCGGCCAGCCAGCAAGCCCCGCTCAACATGCAAGTGGCAGCCTCTGCTCAGGTTCAGTTTCTCAGCCCATCCCCACTGCCTGCCAGTCCCTAAAGGGAGGAAATAAATAACTCGTCCTCTACCTTTAAAGTGCTGCAACTAAATTTCCTAGTGTAGAGAGCACTGGATAACATACAACTTAAAACCGAAGAGCAGCAAAGGAATGTAATATAGTTTGGGAGAACAGTGGAAGGCAAAAAACAACTGTATTTTCTTTCCCAAAGTAGTTCAGTGCATTAGCAGGTAACATTCAGATCCCAAGAGTACTATATGGTGTTCTCATCTCCATTTTTTTCTATTAAATTCCTCCAGAACAATTCATTCGAATTCTCTGCCCTGGCTCCACCTGTTCCTCATGTTTGTGGAACTATGCAATGACATTTCAAAAGCCCTTGAGGCAGTAACCCTGATCTAGGGAGGAGCAAGCCCCAGGCCTTAAATTGTTACATTAAAAAAAAAAATGCATTAGTATATAATAAAGGGAGCCCAAAAGTAGAACATGTCAACCAAACCCTCCCCCCCCGCCATCCCCGGCCAGCACATCCACCTTACCTGAATGATCTCTGTCTATGATCCTGAATATGGTCTCCAAGTTGGATCTGTTTCGATAAATGACTTCCAGCAAGCCCGCCTGGACATGCTGAAAGAGAACATGGTCACGCTCCTTCTCTAGCTCCTACCTAACACCGTAGAGCGCTGTGCTGTCTCTGGGCAGTTACTGCAGACGTTCCCATAAATAGAAGCATCTGCTGCTCTCAAGACTCGTTCCACAGTTACCAGCTGAGGTGCTCAAGGATGAGTTTGTCAGCAATGCACTTTGCATCGTGCATGCACTAGGAAACAGGTTTGTGATGACTGGCCCCTCTGTGCACCTCTGTATTACAGCACATCGTCAGCCTGTCAATTCCAAACAGACCATTTTTCCTGGTTAATAGGGGAGATGGTGATTTGGGCTATGACTTTTAACTGTTGCAGATTTGTTTTTGCTGGCTGTAATTAGGAAGCTGCAAGTCAGAGAAAGGAACCATGGCACTCCTGGAGAGAGTGCAGCGGAGGGCTACAAAGAGGATGAGGGGACTGGAGCCTCTCTCCTATGAAGAAAGGCTGCGAGAGCTGGGCCTGTTCAGCCTGGAGAAGAGCAGACTGAGAGGCGATCTCATCAACGTGTACAAGTATCTGAAGCGGAGGGGTGTCAAGAGGATGAGGTCAGCCTCTTCTCCGTGGTGCCCAGCAACAGGACAAGAGGCAATGGCAGAAACTGAACCACAGGAAGTTCCACCTGAACCTGAGGAAAAACTTCTTCACTGTGAGGGTGACAGAGCATTGGAACAGGTTGCCCAGCGAGGTAGTGGAGTCTCCTTCGCTGGAGATATTCAAAACCCGTCTGGATGCCATCCTGGGCAACATGCTCTGGAGGACCCTGCTTGAGCAGGGAGGTTGGACTAGATGATCTCCAGAGGTCCCTCCCAACCTCAACCATTCTGTCATCTAGTTTTCCAGTTTAAAAGCCTGAATCCAAATCTAGGCTTCTATTTCACAGGGGGCATCCATTTCTATAATGGTCCAAACCCCTCTGGACTGCTCAGATTCATGCAAGTTTTTCCACTGATTCCAGTATGTTTTTGGCTCATACAGGAACCATCTGTTCTTCTAAACTTTCCTGCCACACTTGGTCCCCCACCCTGGGAATCTTGTGAGCTGCTCTGACAGAAGAGGGTGAGCGTGCCACCCCTTACCTCTCGGCTCCGCTGCTCCATGGCCAAGTCCTCGAGCCAGGATTTGTACTCCAGCATGCCATCGGCCGTGCTGCGCACCAGCTGCGGTCGCAGCATTCGCCATGGCAATCCCAGACGCAAGACGGATTCCACTGCCGTCGCCCAGTTGCTCAGCGTGATCCTTCCTGCAAGGAGCAGAGAGACCCATGGAGACCTCTGAGGGATGGGAGGCTGAAAGCACATTAAGATGACTGGCATGTTGCTTTTTCAGTGCCACTACTTGCCACAGCACTGTCCCCTTTAGGGACAAACAAAACTCTCTATGGCATCTGCTCCCTGCTTAGCTGGTAGGGTGATGGGACGGCAACACAGCAGATAGATACATTTAACACCCTATTCACCAAAGTAAAAAGGTGAATACATAGAACACACACCCTGTTTAGCAGGCTGCTGGCAGCAACAGCCTGGTTCCCAGGCTGTCTC